AAATACCGTTACAGAAGATATTTTCCCTAAATGACTTTGCAATTTTTCAATTTAGTCTTAATGAAAAGAAACAAAACATAGAGATTGCCCGCATAATTATTTCGTTTTCTTTAAATTTAGATTTCAAATTTGGATTTTGGATTTATTTGAAAGAGAAAATAATACAGAATTGTTGTCTTACATAATCAAATTTTCCAGATGAAATGGCTCAAGGAGAAGGGTTACGGTGGTGCCTTCATATGGACTCTTGATTTCGATGATTTCAAGGGTACAAGTTGTGGTAAAGGTCCATATCCGCTATTAAATGCAATCAATAATGAACTTGGAAGTGAGGTAGGAAATATTTCAGAGATGAATTTCGGTATCAAATATAGCTGAAGTTTCTGTTTGTATTCATCAAAATTTCGAATTATATTGTGAATGAAGTTATAAAATTAGTAAGGAAGTAAGTAAATCGATAGATTGATGAATCGATCGATATAAGTTCAATAGGATTATTTCGGAAAAATTGACACTAAATGATAGGACATATAATTTCTCTTTGACGATTGACTAATTTAAAGTGCAAATTTACTTCGTTTTACACTCACTTTGAAATTTAAAATTCAGCAAACATTTGCAGTCAACAGCATCGACGGAAAGCTTTGATACGACGACGGCAGAACCAGAAAATACGGAAGCCGATACTGATATTGATATGACGACGGCAGAACCAGAAACTACAGACGACGATACTGATATTGATATGACGACAAGTGCTGCTGAACCAACAAGACCTATCGGTTTGTTATTCGCAGGATAAATAGTCTTTCTTATCCATTCCGTATAGAATATGAAGTAGACGAGAGAAAACCTTAGAAGCCTTTTTTATGTACCTGTCATAAAAGTGCATTTTTGAAGGCTAAGTTATTCCTTCAAAATCAATGTTTGCTAGAATCTAACGAACACACTTAGCATGAATCACAGGTGAATCCGATTTGGAATCTCCAACACTTCATATTTTTCTTGCTAATAATCTTTTCCTTCTTTTTTTCCTCCCGAAAAATTTATCGATGTTATAGTAGTATGATCCTTGATGAAGATTTTATCTGATTTGGTTGTTTTGATTATTTGCATAAGTGGATAGTTGTAATAAAGGTTTACTGATAGACGATAAGTTTCTTCTTCTTGGACATTAGGAGTGAGTATTACAGGTAGATTCAATTACTAGGTTATTCTTCTTGTATCATAATTTAGAAATTATTGAGAATTTGATTGAGTTTGTTGCTAAATAGGGATTTGATTTGATGAAATATATTAGATGGTAGTACTGTTATATCAAGAAGAATGGAAAATTGATATTAGAATATTTTTTTACTTTGATCACTTTAAGTCATTGTTGAAGATTGATATAACATCGGTTCTTATTGAAGATGTTTTGTCAAAAAACATATTGAAGGAATGATCCTTGTTGAAGACTGACAAACGACTATTTATAATCCTAACTCTTTATATAGTAGAATTGCTTACAACATTTAAAACATTCCAAATAAGCTTGATTATAATGAAAATTTTTTCAACATTGTAGTAACATAATCGTAAGATTTGCATATATTGCAATAAATTTGATCATTAAACTGAAAGATCTTTATAATATTGCATATCATTACGATCATATAAGATGACAGTTAAACAAATGATTTAAAAAAGATCAAAAATTACATTGTTATTTTTTATGTTATGAATCATATATTTGAGAAATATTCTAATTTCAAATAATTTTTATACAATCATGAGTTTACATCAATTATTCCAAGATATTTTTACAACACAAAAATAATTGAACTATTTACCTCGGTTTTTCCCGATATATCTTGTTGTATTATTGAAAAGTATTTCAGATAGATGTCCCGAACCTCACGGTTTATTCCCGCATCCCACTAATTGCCATCTATTCATTCATTGCGCGAATAACTATTTATATGTGATGCAATGTCCACCAACTACCTTTTTTAATGATGAAATCAAAGTTTGCGATCATATGATGAATGCACCGAATACATGCAAATGATTCTGGTCTCTCTTTTCCATAATTGTTACAATAAATGTTTTAGAATTAGCAATACAGAGAATGAATAAACAGGTACATAATCATATGTGACAATTCATATTGTTTTATGAAAATGAATACAATTATATGAGACAGAGAAGTAAAGGATGATTTAATTCAATTATTAAAAATTGTTATTTGCATCTCTTTTTAGTGAAACAAAAAAAATCTTTGAAAAGTATTATTAATTAAAAAAAAAGTATTTTAACACCTTATCATTAATATCTTATTTTGACAACATACATTCTGATAATTTAGCAAAAAGTATTAAAAAATATAAGATTAATTAAGAAGATGAATAGATTATATGCAAGTAAAGGGATTGAATGGATTCTGATAGATAGATAGAAATTTGTTTAAAGGTAAAAATAGTGCTAGCTTTGCATCATGATTGAAGAGCTTTTTTTAAGAATTGATTTATCGGGAAAATCATTTTATTCTGTTTTCGCACCTTCAGTAGTGATATAATATATAGCAAATATAATCATACAGGTATGAATAAACAGGTACGATCTTACAATCATTTCCCAATATAATACTTGAAGGCTTATTTGTATGGAAAAAGATCAATTCTTAAAACATTAACCAGTCATTTTTTTTTTCAGCAACTTCCTGAGAACGTGTCGTACGATTCTCCCTCTTATAACAAGTCGAGGGAATTTCGGCAAGACATTTTATAATTAGCACAATGTCTTAATTGAAAGAGCAGAAAAGGAAGAAGAAAGTAGTAAATGTTATCATTCACGTTGAAAAACTGTAGAAGAAGTATGATGTTAGCAAATATCTTGAATAAGCAGCAATTAATACAGTATCGGTATCGAGCAATCACATGTTGGTATCAGATGAAAACAAAGGATAGGATAAGCATTACATGCTACATTATTTCCAAATAATGATCGTTCAATAATGGCAGAAAAATATCTCTAATTATTTACATATTAATGCTCATGTTCATTACCAAGAGTTACCGGATAAATTTTGGGAAATCAGGATGAAAGAAAGCCATGCTAGTTTTTTATTGTATGCATAAATATCGTACACAAAATGGATTCTTTACAAATATAGGATCCGAAATTTGAAATGAGCTCAATTTTCATATTAATAACTTCTGCAATTTTTACCACATCTGATCAGGTAAGGAAGTCATATTGGTGTGGGCAATAAGAATGGATTGCGGAATGAATGATAGGTGTGACTTACCGAATGAATGATAGCTGAGTTGCGGAATGAATGGCAGCTTCTGACGATTCCAATAATTTTTTGCTTTTATTTGATGTTTCTGGAAATTTTGATAAAACATTGATCAGTGTATTCATCGAAAGATCATCAGGAAAAAAATGAGACGATTTACGGAATATATTTCGGCATTACTCATTTTTGTGTTGGGAATTCTTATTCTGTAATTTAGTTTCATTCAATGTTCGCTAATCAAAATTATCTATTATCTCTGTGATTATCAAATTTAGAAGACGCGCGTTCAAATCATTGAAGAAATTCTGTTCCTAACAAATTCTAGTAGTTATCTTTGCAGTTAACAAAAGAAGTAGTCCTTACAGTTAAATATAATTAACCGTAAAGGTTTCAAAACCCTATTATTTCCTCATCAGACGATAGGTTTATCTGAAAGTAAACAATTTTTAGTTTAACTATTTATCAGTTAAATTGCTTTGTAGAGCGTCTATTTGGATATTTCAGATATTCAAAAAATCCTGACTTAGTACTCGTTTTTGGAAATTATATTTTGCTTAATTTGAATATGTTCACCGAGAAATTTTTGCAAAAATTTGTTCGTTTCCTTTTAATTTTCCATCTTTTTGCTATTTGCTTTTTTTCCTACACCCTCTCTTATACTTTTTAATTTCATATTTTTTCAGCTTTTTAGCTTTACTATGTTTTCAAGCTGTGCAAATAAATATTCAACGATTTTATAAAATGATCATCCTAATATCAAATTATTCAGCAAGTTGTTGACATGAATTGATACAATGTGATTATTTGTTTTTATTTCATTTTGCAACATTTTCATTTTATTTTCAAGCTATGCAAATATTTTGCATTTATAAATATTTTCACCAAATCTAATCATATCAACAGTCATACCTTCTACAGTAACTTGTTTATTTTAGCTTCAATATAGCTAACCAATTTCATGCCGTGGAATTGCATACTTATCTCAACGACTAGCATATAAAAGTGAATCAAATTGAGGATTTGGCATGATTATATCAACGATCATTTGAAGATATTGCAGAGATTTTAGCTCCAAGTTTACCTTTACCTTTCTTTAATGAGTTTTTTCTTTGGTCTTTCATATAGACCCACAACTATTCGTATTAATTCTTCCAATACAGTAATCCCTTATTGCGCTATTATATCCTCTTAAGTGTTAATGCAAAGAGAATTCATTCATTCTTATCCCTTACTCATACAGATTTACTATGCCATTAATAAAAGTAAATGTCAGTTAATCATAGCAATAAATGTTGAAATACAGAGTTGGACAAAAGCTCTTACAAAGTGACATGAATTGGACTATGCTAATATCTTTCATTATACTCAGCAATGCAATTACTGTTATAAATGGTAAGTTATTCAATAAAGTGACACATCAGTAACGTGGACACAAAAGGAAAAAATAGTACATCTTTGAAGATATAATCGAATCGATTCATCAAACTGATATTATGATAAGCG